ACAGGAAGTAATCATTGCTCAGTATTAACAAACTACTTACTTGAAAAGGTATGGCAACTTCTCCTCGGCAGCACACAGGCATTTCGCTGCAGCTTCTGTATCACCAGATTTTGTGAGCCTAGACATGAGAAACAAAAATTTATGTTACAGTCCAACTGTACATGTATGTTCTGTGGATGTACTGTATGTTGAGAGGATGAGAGAGGTAGAGAGGTAGAGAGGAGGAAGAGGCAAACGCAAAGGCAGAAAGAAAGTGAGAGGATAAGAGAGATAAGATAAGTATTTTTATTTAGAGGAAGAGATGTGGAAAGGAAGGAAGAGAGGAAAAAGATAAATTAGAAGGGAGGTGGAGAGTAAAACGGGGGATTAGAGGGAGACAGACAGGAGGCAAGGAGATGAAGAGAAGAGAAAAAAGAATGGGAAGGGAGCAAAGAGCAGGCAGGGAGATGACAAACGAGGATGGGAGGGAAGGGAAGGGATGGAAAGGGAATGGAAGAGATGAAAAGAAAAGGGAAGAAAGAGGTTGAGAAGAGAAGAAGAAACAAAAAGGGAGACAGAGTAGGCAGTCTAAAAAGAAGGAAGGAAGAGGATGGGAGGTAGACAAAAGGGAAAGAAGAAGAGAGCAGCAAGAGGAATGAAAAGAGAGGCAGAGAGGAAGCAAAAAGATAAGAAAATAGACAAGAGAAACAGGCATGGGAAGAGCTGTTGATAAGAGGCTAGCAAATGAAAAGGAAGGTAGAATATAGAGTTTTTTTGAGAGGAAAAGAGATGAGATAGAATGTAGACTGAAACATTTCAAGTTATTCCTTACTTATTGTAACTGTTGAGAAGTTGTGTTCCAGCTGCACCCATCAACTTTGCTAGTTTAGCAAGGAAGTCTGCATCTTCATCCTGCAACATAAAAGAATAATGAAATTTATACAGCACACCACAGAAAGTAAAACACATTTAATTTATAGGTGTCCAAGAATTGTTAAACTGGCAAAACACTTTTTGGTTTGCCTTACTGAAAGATATTAGAGAAAAAAGAGAACTTCTAAAAAGCTAGTCCCAGTACAGAATGTCTGGGCAAGTACTTTCCAGTGGAACAAACTGTAAATTTAAGCATTTGCCATTAAGCCCCTCACCAAAATTTCTGGAATTAAAAACAAAAAATGGAAAGTGGACCAGATGCGCCGTGTGCTCCTATCCAAGACATTTAATGCTGATCTTGAAACGTACCTCTTTTGATAAAAGGGAAAAGGCAAATTATTATGCAAACTGGAAGAAAAACCTCAAAAGCACCTAAGTATTATTCACTCTGCAGGGGATCTCGAGTAGCAATATTCACACCAAAGTACTGTATGTAAACTAAGGTCAAATGCCAGCAGCAGCATCATTATGACCTTGAATCACAGCAAGAAAAAACCTAGGCATGATTGCCCCAGGCAAGTTAAGTTTGGGCCAGTGAAATTAGCCTCGTAGTAGTAGTAGTCTAGTGAGTCTGAGTGAAATTGCAAGCTTGATAAAATTAAATGATAATTTCCAGCCAGAAACGATTTCTCAAAATTAAAGAAGTCCTACAAGATGAGCAAAAGCCTGCATTGAAAGCATGGATTGATTTAAAATCCACGTATACTTGATTGCAAAAATTATATATCAGTTGGGACAAGTGAAAACTGAAATTTGCAGGCCCACTGGGCAAGTGGATTTCAAATGTTCTTTCTTCCTGTCTCATTTATGCAATCCTTATTAAAACTAAACTGAAGATCACTCCCAAGTAATTTACCTCTTGAAGTTGAAGAACTCCACTCTTTTCTAAGACACTCAGAAGAGACTCAACTAATTCTTGTTTGGCTACTGGTTCCATTCCCTTTATTATAATCTCATGCATACAATCACAAGCACTCTCACGAAGAACTTCCACTGACATGTATTGAAGCAGCAAGCTAAGAAAGTAATAACAGAAAAAAAATCAAAACTTAAGCCATTGTTACAAGAACTCTGAGGGCATCTGAGCTGGCAACAGCTCAACTATTCAGCTGAAAATCTGGGGACAAAAATCGAATGGAATGGAAATTCCCAGTAAGACATATATTCCTGAAATTTGGGTATACAGAAATCCTGGAAAATGCTGTTCCATTTGCCACACGAAATTAGAAAATAACACAAACAGGAATTTTTTGTCGGATGGTAAGCGCCCCTAAGAATTAAAAGGTTGGTGTAAGCCCTCATGGAAGGCAAAACAGCCTACATGTAAGTGAGACCCTGGCGAGTGTCTATGTGTATTTTTAGCATCTCTGTAAGTACTGTACTTCTCTCACAATGCACACCCCACCCAAGAGTATAATCGGCACAAAAAAGGTGGTGAAAACCTTGGGTAACCATCCAATAAAAATAGCACTGCTACATATTTCTAGAAACAGGATTTATGTAACTCCACTAATGGCCAGCTCTCTACAACTACCACTTTTTT